GCTGATTTCTGCTATATTTCATGGCAAATCCGCTCCTATTCTCATCAATTCGGTTCGGCTATAGTTCACACGCATAAATCGTGCGGAGTCGGGAACAGAGTCAATATCAAAACTTCTAAAAACTGGGAAAGTACCGGGAGCCTGCGAAGCTGCAACTGCTCTGAGTGCAGCCATCTTGGCATACTGTAGTAAAAGGAGGGATAATAAGTAGGGATGGGGCCAATCCGATCCAATATCGGTATCGGCCTCCGATACCAGCATAATTTACGTAGCGGATTTTCCGATCCACCTGCCGATATTTCCAATCCATGATGCATGTTGGCTTCAAACTATGGAATGGATTTCCTGAATGGCGGCGTGTCTCATGAGCCCAGAGTAATAAGACCCGCCTCACATTCAGGAAATCCATTTCATAGTTTGCAGCCAGCTACAACGTGACGACTGAGTTAGCAGCACTGTGGCTAACAGCTAACCAACTTTTCATCTAAACATGTCGCTGTGTGGAAGTATTTTACACTAAACACCACAAAACAAGACAGCAACGTGCAATGTCTGCAGAGTCATAGCGCCGCATTAAACCACGGTAAAGTTAGTTTTATTAAGGACATTTGAGCTCCGTGGCTTCAGCGGGGCACTTCTCTTTGGTCAAACTGAAAGAGGCGACTCGACACCGGCCAGCCGTGTCCAATCTGCCCCGCTCAGTCTGCCCATCTCCGAGGAGGAACAGACTGAGTGGAGCTGCCCCAAATCAGGCTGCTTGCTTCGGATGGAACAAGAAGAAGACGTCACTGAAACCACGGAGCTCTAATGTTTACAGAGAAGTTGCTAAACTTCATCATGATTCATGGCCAACCACTATCAGTTGTACGAAACGAAGGATTTCACAGTTTGATACTTGCAGCCAAGATATAGTTTACTCTCCAGGAGATATTTATCAGTACAACAGTAGACAATCATAAAAAACATATGATTTGAAAATTATATATATTAAAAACAAACAGCTACATTATAAAGTGATGTAAAATACTAAAAACAGGAACATGTCTGTTGGTTTATGCCATGAACTTAGCAGATTTTTAAAGCCATTTAACATTTAATTTAATTCATTTATTCATTCATTTAAATGAAACAAAATTTTTTAAAAAATCATCAAAAAGAAAACATTGAATGAAAAGAGTGCAGAAAGAAAAAAATTCTTATATCTGCCCCTTATAAAATATAAAATAACTTTAATCAATCACTTAAATTAATCACTTTAATATCCACTTTAAAGCTAGGAATAAAAAGAAACATGTTTTGTGTTAGAATTTAATTCTAACTTTAAAACTTATCCAACATTAATAAAACTTACCTCAAGTTGACTTTTTGGACATGCATGCATATACTTGTACAAATTGTACTTGAGAGGAGATTATTACAGCCTCATATAAAATCAATGATGATCATGATATCGGAACTGGATCGGTATCGGCTGATACTTGGGGCCAAGTATCGGGATCGGATCGGAATTTTAAAAAAGTGGATCGGTGCATCCCTAATAATAAGCCCTCCTTCCTGTTTTATGAACAATTTGAAGTCATACTATTCTTCATTAATTAGATGCAAAATTGATAGAATCATCGCACAACAGATATAAACGTATTGTTAATTAAAACAGAGAGAGAGAGAGAGAGAGAGAGTGTGTCTTTCTGACCATACGAGCAGTTAGAGATTTAAAGAGGAGTGGCAAAAAACATGTTACTGTGAAGTGTCGTCTCTGCAGTCCAGATATTGAACTGTTAGTACTAAGTTGTCATCCATATTATTTGCCAAGAGAGTTCACCAGTGTTACTTTGGCAACTGTTTACATTCCACCCAATGCTGTTGCTGAGACTGCATGTGATGTCATCAGCTCCGAGGTTGCTAAGCTACAGACACAACACCCTAGTGCGTTTGTTGCAATATCTGGGGATTTTAATCATGTTTGACTCTCTGCTACACTTGCGGCATTCCAACAGTTTGTCAGCTGCTCTATCAGAGAAAACAAAACACTGGACTTGTTTAATGCAAATGTCAAGAATTCATACATCGCTAAAGCAAGACCCCCTCTTGGCAAATCAGATCACAATCTTATGTTTCTCTGCTCAAAATATAACTCCCTTGGATAATATAATAGCATCGGAACTAATGGTTCCCATGCGCTTGAAGCAGTTCATGTTCAGAACACCAAACTTCTCCTTTTTAGCAGCTACCCCCATTTTCACACCTATCAGGAATCTAAAAAAGTTAAATCTGGTCCTCTGGACATTCAAAAAAAAAAAAAAAAAAAAAAGCAAAACAACAAAAAAATGTAAAAACGTTTCGTCTCGTCAGACTTCCTCAGTCTGAGGTGCTGTATTCAGCTCAGTCTCTTAAATAGCACCTTCTCAGAGTGGATCAGCCAGTTTGCTGCTGACAACCAAAACCAGCTGATCACATGCTCAAGAAGGACCATCAGCCTAACAATGGATCATTAGCACCTGATGGCTGTTTACTGTTCACAGAGGGCTGAGTGATACTAGCAATCACAGCATTGTAAGAGGGGGACAATTGAACCCGGAGGCCTCCACCCCTGTTTAACGATGGACGGTTTCTTTTCACAAAGATGGCCTCCTTTACTCCTCTCTCAAACCATCGTTCCTCTCTGTCCAGGATGTGAACATCTTCATCCCTGATAGAGTGACCTCTGGCCTGGAGATGAGTGTAGACCTCAGAGTCCTGGCCTGATGATGTTGATCTTCTGTGCTGGGCCATTCTTTTGGCCAGTGGCTGTTTAGTTTCCCCGATGTAAGACTGATCACCCTCCTGACACTGAACAACATACACAACATTACAAGTCCAGTGTCCAGTGTTTCCCCTAATTTACTTGCCTTAGGGCTGCATTTGTTTCTGTTGACAGGGCGTGGCGTCCTCCTTGGATAATGGTAGGGGAAACACTGAAGTGTGACAGGATTGATGAGCTAAATGCTGGTCTATGCCAAGACCAAAGGGGATTGCTGCTGGTTTAAAAGTTAAACAATCTAAAACATTTTATAATGGTTTATGGGAATACTGTTTTATAGACTTCATCCATCCATCCATTATCTTTTACCCGTTTCTTCCATTTTGGGTCACGGGGGTCACCGGTGCCCATGTCACTGTGCGAGGGCCGGGGGATACCCTGTACAGGTCTCCAGTCCATCACAGGGACACAGAGACAAACGAGACAACCATTCTCTCTCTCACTCACACCTAGGAACTACAGGTCCTTCTCAAAAAATTATCATATTGTGATAAAGGTCATTATTTTCCATAATGTAATGATAAAAATGAAACTTTCATATATTTCAGATTCATTGCACACCAACTGAAATATTTCAGGTCTTTAATTGTTTTAATACTGATGATTATGGCATACAGCTCATGAAAACCCAAAATGCCTGTCCCAAAAAATTAGCATATTTCATCCCACCAATGAAAGACAAGTGTTTTTAATACAAAAAACGCCAACCTTCAAATAATCATGTTCAGTTATGCACTCAATACTTGGTCGGGAATCCTTTTGCATGAATGACTGCTTCAATGCGGCGTGGCATGGAGGCAATCAGCCTGTGGCACTGCTGAGGTGTTATGGAGGCCCAGGATGCTTCGATAGCGGCCTTAAGCTCATCCAGAGTGTTGGGTCCTGCGTCTCTCAACTTTCTCTTCACAATATCCCACAGGTTCTCTATGGGGTTCAGGTCAGGAGAGTTGGCAGGCCAATTGAGCACAGTAATACCATGGTCAGTAAACCATTTACCAGTGGTTTTGGCACTGTGAGCAGGTGCCAGGTCGTGCTGAAAAATGAAATCTTCATCTCCATAAAGCTTTTCAGCAGATGGAAGCATGAAGTGCTCCAAAATCTCCTGATAGCTAGCTGCATTGACCCTGCGCTTGATAAAACACAGTGGACCAACACCAGCAGCTGACATGACACCCCAGTGACTGTGGAAACTTGACACTGGACCTCAAGCAATGTGAATTCTGTGTCTCCTGTCTTCCTCCAGACTCTGGGACCTTGATTTCCAAAGGAAATGCAAAATTTACTGTAATCAGAGAACATAACTTTGGACCACTCAGCAGCAGTCCCAGGCGAGATGCTTCTGACGCAGTCTCTTGTTCAAAAGTGGCTTGACCTGGGGAATGTGGCACCTGTAGCCCATTTCCTGCACACGCCTGTGCACGGTGGCTCTGGATGTTTCTACTCCAGACTCAGTCCACTGCTTCCGCAGGTCCCCCAAGGTCTGGAATCGGCCCTTCTCCACAATCCTCCTCAGGGTCCGGTCACCTCTTCTCGTTGTGCAGAGTTTTCTGCCACACTTTTCCCTTCCCACAGACTTCCCACTGAGGTGCCTTGATACAGCACTCTGGGAACAGCCTATTCCTTCAGCAATTTCTTTCTGTGTCTTACCCTCTTGCTTGAGGGTGTCAATGATGGCCTTCGGGACAGCAGTCAGGTCGGCAGTCTTACCCATGATTGTGGTTTTGAGTAATGAACAAGGCTGGGAGTTTTTAAAAGCCTCAGGAATCTTTTGCAGGTGTTTAGAGTTACGTAGTTGATTCAGATGGTTAGGTTAATAGCTTGTTTAGAGAACCTTTTCATGGTATGCTCATTTTTTGGGACAGGCATTTTGGGTTTTCATGAGCAGTATGCCATAATCATCAGTATTAAAACAATTAAAGACCTGAAATATTTCAGTTGGTGTGCAATGAATCTGAAATATATTGAAAGTTTCATTTTTATCATTACATTATGGAAAATAATGACCTTTATCACAATATGCTAATTTTTTGAGAAGGACCTGTATTTATAGAGTTACCAATCAGTCTAACATGCATGTTTTTGGTCTGTGGGAGGAAACTGGAGTTGTTTTATAGACTTGTAAACCAAATTATGTACATTTTATGAGCTGCATACATTTACAGTAAAACACTAAAATCTGTTTTTCTTTTCTGTCTTTTAGACTTTCCCTTTCTTTGGAGTAGTGCCAGCCATCTTGAATGAGTCAGGAGAGGAGCTTGAAGGGCAGAGTGAAGGATACCTGGTACGTAAACAGATAGAACTTACATAATTATTAGTGTATTTCTGTACATGCCTTTGTACATTTATACTCATCAGGTGTAATAATCTTTGTCACTCAGGTATTTAAACAGCCCTGGCCCGGTATGATGAGGACGGTGTATGGAAACCACCAGAGATTTGAAACCACCTACTTCAAGAAGTTCCCTGGATACTACGTCACAGGGGACGGTGAGAGCCAGCGCCAAGATCGAGAACCAAAAATTCCTCAAGTTTATTGATTAGGAAAGATTATTTATTTCTAACATCGTTGTATGGGATTTTTTTAATATAATTACTAAATATGTTGTTTTATTTCTTTTATCTCTTTCCACCTCCCATGCTTTGCAACAAAGTGGAATGAATGCTGCCTAAAATAGTTTGAACTGCTGGACCAGCACTCACACCAAAACAAGCACAGGGGAAAGCTTTGTTGCAAACAGATTGAGCATTAATTCAGTCATATCCTATGGGCTGCAGAAAGTTGGGGAGGGGGGATTATGAGAAAACTCATAATATCTTGTTTAGAGTTTGCCAAGTGAGTAAAATATTTTTGATTAAACTCATTTAATATGTTCTCTTCAACAGTGAATTTGTCTTTTCCACTCTCCCATAAAGCTCAGGCTGATACTTAGACTGATGGTACTGGCAACAGATGTTGTATGCCCAGTCTCTCCCATGTCACCTGCTGAAGCTTGCAACGCCTTCAGAGTGCTCACAGGTGTCTTGGTGGTCTCTCTTTCTTCACTATCACTCAGTATATGAGAACAACCTGATCTTGGTAGATTTATATATTCCATATCCCTTCCATTTCTAGATGATGGATGAAACAGAACTCAGGATGTTTAGGGCTTTGGAAAACATTTTTTAGCATGAGCTACACATAAGATATGATAAATCAGTTTGAACCTTTGAGCTCGGAAGGCATTATAGGGTCCCTCTGGCAATGAAGAACATCTATAAGAAGTCATTTATTCCGGTGCAATAACCATTCTTAAGCAAACCAAACGATAATATCTACCTATGGTATGCAAAATGTTTTATTTTATGCACAAATTGTTGATATTTTTGATTGTATGAATGTGTTTTATTTTATGGTTGGAGAGCCGAAGGAAAATGTCCACCTTGGTGAAGAATAAAGTTTTATCTTATCTTAAATTCACCCATTCACAAAATGTTACCAGGAAAAATCAACCTTCTACTGTTTGAACCTGTAAGTTTAGTTTAGTCCAGGAAACCCACTTCAGCGCTCATTTTTAGAAATTTGCTTAAAGATACAACCATCTGATAGTAGAAAATAAACTTACAAATAAAAATGTATCACTCATTTTGTCTGGATTTCAGACAAATGTACAAACCGGATTCCAAAAAAGTTGGGACACTAAACAAATTGTGAATAAAAACTGAATGCAATGATGTGGAGATGGCAAATGTCAATATTTTATTAGTAATATAACATAGATGACAGATCAAAAGTTTAATCTGAATAAATGTAACATTTTAAAGGAAAAATATGTTGATTCAAAATTTCACAGTGTCAACAAATCCCAAAAAAGTTGGGACAAGTAGCAATAAGTGGCTGGAAAAAGGAAATTGGGCATATAACAAACAGCTGGAAGACCAATTAACACTAATTAGGTCAATTGACAACATGATTGGGTATAAAAAGAGCTTCTCAGAGTGTCAGTGTCTCTCAGAAGCCAAGATGGTAAGAGGATCACCAATTCCACCATTGTTGCACAGAAAGATAGTGCAGCAGTACCAGAATGGTGTTACCCAGCGTAAAATAGCAAAGACTTTTAAGTTATCATCATCAACCGTGCATAACATCATCAAAAGATTCAGAGAATCTGGAACAATCGCTGTGCGTAAGGGTCAAGGCCGTAAAACTCTACTGGATGCTCGTGATCTCCGGGCCCTTAAACTTCACTGCACCTCAAACAGGAATGCCACTGTCAAGGAAATAACAGAATGGGCTCAGGAATACTTCCAGAAAGCATTGTCAGTGAACACAATCTGCCGTTGCCAGCTGAAACTCTATGCTCCCATCTAGACGTCATCTCTTTCAGGGAAGACCCTGCATTTTTCAACACGATAATGCCAGACCACATTCTGCAGCAATCACAACATCATGGCTACGTAGGAGAAGGATCCGGGTACTGAAATGGCCAGCCTGCAGTCCAGATCTTTCACCTATAGAGAACATTTGGTGCATCATAAAGAGGAAGGTGCCACAAAGAAGGCCCAAGACGATTGAACAGTTAGAGGCCTGTATTAGACATGAATGGGAGAGCATTCCTATTTCTAAACTGGAGAAACTGGTCTCCTCTGTCCCCAGACATCTGTTGAGTGTTGGAAGAAGAAGGGGGATGCCACACAGTGGGAAAAATGGACTTGTCCCAACTTTTTTGGGATTTGTTGACGCCATGAAATTTGGAAACAACAGATTTTTCCCTTAAAATGAAACATTCTCTCAGTTTAAACTTTTGATCTGTGATTTGTGTTCTATTCTGAATAAAATATTAGATGTTGGCACCTCCACATCATTGCATTCAGTTTTTATTCACAATTTGTTTAGTGTCCCAACTTTTTTGGAATCCGGTTTGTAAAAGCAAGTCCTGAACAACTGAGAATCATGAGCTTCTCAGCTTCTCATATATAATCTGTACATAAAATGTTAGCTGCAAAACAGGCTGGAACACTTTCTTCTTGTTTTTTTTTTTTTTTTCAATTCTGATCATCTGGGATGAATCATCAGTCTGTTGCTAAATTTCTTGTTAATAAATCATGTAATTACAGAGATTACAGTGGTGTTAAGGTTTCCAAAGCAGAGCTTGCATAAACTGTTCAGATTTTTTTAGGATTGGGGTTGTTTTAGGAGAGCAATAATCCACTTTATTGTTGGTACCTTTCTGATTAGATAATAATTAATTTTATTTTTTTAAAGGTTGCCGTAGAGACAAAGATGGCTACTACTGGATAACAGGAAGAATAGACGACATGTTAAATGTCTCAGGTAAGAGTTGCTTTAAGACACTAACGCTGTGTTTAACCTTTTTTGAAGCGTGTTGACAAGACATGCAGTCTTGTACCTCGCAGTGCAGTGAACACTGGAACACTTACTTCTTGTTTTTTCTACTCTGAGCATCTGGGATGAATACATTTTATGTTTTGTCCCTATGCAGGTAAAAGAAAAAATCTTTCTTTGAGGGCATGCATAAAACAATTATACCAACTGAAACAACAGTCAACAGAACAAAACGTAGAAACATCACTCTCTGGACTTTTTATGAAAGAGAATGTGATAATTTGATTTTAGCCAAAGTTTAAGTTTCTTTTTAAACGATGGATGCAGTTAGAGAGGACATGGAGGTAGTTGGAGTGAGGACAGAGTGAGGTGGAGGAGGAGGATGACTCGCTTTAAAGACTCTTAAAGTGTGAACACCTGACAGAAGTACAGTAGTAGTTTTTTTTTTGTTTTTTTTTTTGCAGAACAATTGTCCATTTCTAACTAATTCTGGTAGTTTATTCCATGAATGTGTTCCTTTAATCAATTTCATCTTTCACCCTAATTCCATTCTCCATCCTGCTATGACTCAGTTAACTCTAGATTGAAAACTGATAATTATTCTGGTTTTATACTTTAAAAGAAACAAGTTTAAAAAAGGAAGAGCAAGACCATTTAAAATCTTAAAAACAAGTTCGGTTCATTTTCGGTACAAAAAATACAAAATAAAACTTACAAAACGTTTATTTTGAAAATATGCCAAGTAAACAATACGTTTGTATAAAAATAAGTAAAGCGACCCATTTGGATGATATTTTAAATAAACAACACTCTTTACAATAAATAAACTATACTAAGAATAATAAAAATCTTAATAAATACAATAACAGTCAGAACCAGAACAGTAAGCAGCAACAGTTTACAATCTTAACTAGTCAAGTTTAAGTTTTTGGTCAAAAAGACCAACTTGTCCACATTTTCTCCTAAAATCACAGATCTAGTTGCAGTGAATATCTCTGAACATCTCCAGCGGTGGAGGAAACCTCTCTCTAGCAACAGTAGCAGGAATAAAGAGGTAGAGCTTTGATCGTTTTCAGTGTGGCTGCATTTGGCCTCATTATTAGTCACAGCCTCTCGGAGCTGCTCCCACAGGTGGAACAGGTCCCTGGAAAAGTTCAGTTCACTCATCACACACTTCTTAGCTGGAGGTGATCTCTGGTGGACTTCCCTGAAGAGGAGGAAGACTCAGCTGCTGTCTCTGTCCCAGACTGGAAATAAAACACAGAGGGGAAAAAAAAAAAAAGAGTTCATAAGATTATAATTTTAAATAATAATAATAAAAAAAAAAGTTAAGTAGATAATAATAAAAGAGCAATACCTCTTCTTGAATGGTCCATCCATCCATCCATCCATTATCTTTACTCGCTTATTCCATTTTGGGTCACGGGGGTCGCTGGTGCCCATGTCCAGCAATCACTGTGCGAGGGGCGGGGGACACCCTGGACAGGTCTCCAGTCCATCACAGGGACACATAGAGACAAACGAGACAAACAACCATTCACTCTCTCACTCACACCTAGGGACAATTTAGAGTTACCAATCAGCCTAACATGCATGTTTTTGGTCTGTGGGAAGAAACCGGAGCACCCGGAGAAAACCCACGCATGCACGGAGAGAACATGCAAACTCCACCCAGAAAGGCCCCTGGACCGGGATTTGAACCAGGGACCTGTTCGCTGAGAGGCAGCAGCTCTACCAGTTGCGCCACCGTGCTGCCCTTCTTGAATGGTCATCATTTGTTATTCAATTCAATTCAAAAATACTTTATTAATCCCAAAGGGAAATTATTTGTTGTTGTAACTCGTTATCCTCATTTCATTAAGAGATGTTATAGATGCTGATGCTGTAGACTGGAAGGATCTCTTGTAAAGGTCCATCCCACAGTGGATCCTAAGAAACTGGCTGCAGATGCCGTCTGATCCGTCCACCCAGACTCGGCTGGCCTCTCGGTTCCCCCGGGCTGTAGGACCGCCCGAATGCTGGGCAGAACTCCTCCCAGAGTGATGGCCACTCCTCCCAGCAGTCTGCCGAGCTCCTCGTCGCTGCGGACAGCCAACTGTAGGTGCTGAGGGACGATCCTGTCCTTCAGCTGTCATGAGCCGTGTTTCCTGCTAATTCCAGGATCTCAGTGGTCAGGCACTCGAGCACAGCTGGCAGGTAGATGACAATGAGGTGGTTGAATCTCTTGTTCATCATCATCATCTGGTCCAGGGCTTGTTGATGATCAGTTTTATCTTTTTCATAAAGTGCTGCTACAACTTTTTGGTTGAAGTGTTGACGTGATGTCGTAGCGGGGCTCAATAACTTTAAAATCGGCGCATCAACAACAGAAACGTAGATCCAGAGCTTTAAAACCTCCTACATCTTGTGTTGTTGCTCTGGACCGATGTGAATTACCTGATAAAGGTTGTTTAAATGCTGCTGTCATCGCTCTTTGAACCAACTGTAGAAGACACGTTCATGTTTGGATGATGTCGTTTCAAGAGCGTCAACAAGTTAGACGTGTTGCTGCTGCAGATCCAATCTCCGTGAAACAACGTCGACACAAAGCTTTGATTTGTCCACTTGTCTTTTAACAAGAAAGACATAATGCTCCCAAACAGGAGACCACAACAACATGCTAGAATGCTAATGCTACGTGTGCTGCAAGATAACAGCACCGTGCTGAAACACACTGAGGAACTTTAGTTCCACGGTCCATAATCTCTCGTTAATAAATTTTATTGAGTGAAAAAACAACCGAAACGGTTCAATACACCCACGTGTACCGTTACACCCCTAGTAAACACAAATCTTAGTCATTGAGGAACAGGTACCATAGCTGCTGATGAAACATCAGCTGCTTTTTGTGCTGTCTTAGTCTGTGAGCTTTTCAGAGAGTGGTGAAGGCTGCACAGAAATCTGTTAGGTCGGAGGTTTTTAGTCCCTAAATGTAGGACAAGACGTTTTAAAAATAGCTTTGTTCCTACTGCTGTTATTGAAATGAACAAACTGAACTGACACCGGTGTTCTCAGTGTTTTAACAGATTTGTATCTAATGATAAACTAACATTTAATATATTTTTATACTAGTTGGATTTTAAAGTTTTACTCTCCTCTTTTATGTCCTACTTTGCTTTGAATATGACTGTGGAGCCTTGAGCACTATTCTCTGTAAATGGTTTATTTGAGGTGTTTTTACTTTTAACATTGTGTGTACGCATGGATGTACGCTTATGCTCTGTGCCACTGCAAACCAGATCTACCCTTGGGTATAAATAAAGTAACCTAACCAGAGGGACGAAGCTGAAACTCCCTGTGAAGGCGGTGAAAAACATCTTTTATAACAGAAGAAGCTACCCGCTGTAGCTGGCTAATGTACAGGGATGTAAGTGATGTTTGGATTCCTCCAATCAGTTTAGACGACAGCTTAACAACCTGCTGCAGGGAACTCTTTTCTTTCAGCGTTGCTTGACCAAACCATGAGACCAAGGAGAAGGATAAAACATTCAATAAAAGCACGATAGAACATGGTCGTCATGGTTCGGTCAATATTAAATTGACAGAGTTTCCTTAGACAAAATAAACGCTGGTGGGCCTTCTTACACACTTTGTCAAAATTGGTTTCAAAGTTTAATTCGTCATCTGTTGGAGTCAGCCTCCCCAGATGTAGGGGAACACCACCTCAAACAGATATCATTCATGTGTTTGTGTTTTAAACTGTTAAAATAAGATGCATTTATTCCCTTGGGAATGAACAGACTTTATTTTACAGGTGTTAAACTCAGCTTACAAACTCCTTAGTGGCCACTAATCTAATGTAATGAAAAACTGTTATTGTGTTAACTTCACTGCCAATATGACCTGATTTCCCACGAAACGGACAGATCGTCTTAATGAGAGCTGTGGTTCATTTTGGCCTCCAAGTGAAACACCTGCCGAGGAGTTTACTCCCAGGATTTTCCCATGGAAATAACAGTTTTAAAAGAATCATTTGTTTTCAGGACATTCTCTTTTCAGGAGATGAACAGCGACATCTTTTTGACGAACATTGCATGTTATTTCCACAGCTTCAGAACTGAATGTTTGTTATTGAAAATGTCTGTTTAAAGTAACCTCTCTAAGATAATCATGTTTATTTTTCTCCTTTTTAAACAAGTGTGACTTTTTAAAGGCAGACAAAGAAAATTGACTGTTATTTTATATAAAATAACATGACAGAGTTAGAACCATCCCACTTCCGGGGGGGTGGATCCAAAGTCAGTCTGTAACAGACAGACAGATAAGTCTCACACACTTCATCTTCTAAACCACTTCTTCAAGCACTTCACTGCTCCTTCTACATCAAGCCAATTCAACTTCCTCCCTAGTGAGATGTCCTGGGAAGAAGCTTTTCTGCAAACGTCTCAGGATGAGAGAACCTGGCATTAACCTGACCGAACCAGAGACATCGCCGCAGATTGGTAAATCCCAGCTCCTAAGCCGTGCATTCCTGCACGTAGTACCCGGACCGTTAACCACTTCACTGCCGCACGTTTCACAGATGTTTATAACTCTGAAATGATATTTCAGCCCCAGTGTTTCTCACCACTACTGAGGAGCTGACATCCCAGTTCAACTCTGTCTGCTTAAAGACTCTGGATCATGTTGCGCCTGTTAAAACCAAAAAATCAAAACTGAGAGCAGAACCTTGGCTGAGTGACGTCACCAAGGCCGTTAGGCAGCAATGCAGGAGGGCGGAGCGAAAGTGGAGGAAAGACAGGCTGCAGGTCTCTTTTCAAATACTTAAAAGAGAGTTGGCGCCATTATCAGAAAGCAGTGAAAGCTGCTAAATCCAAATACTTCTCTGATATAATTACCTCAAACTCTCACAACCCACGTGTCCTCTTCTCCACCCTAAACTCTGTTCTCCACCTCACTGAACCATCACCTCTGGAAGCCTCGACTGAGCTGTGCGACAACTTCTTACA